AAAAAAAAAAAAAGAATTTATCCAGAAACTTGGGTGGCTCAGTCCATTGAGTGTCTGACTCTTGATCTCAGCTTGGGTTTTGATCTCAGGGTTGTGAGTAAAAAAAATTTACCCCTCATAACCCTATATGAGTCCTATTTTGTAGATGGGGAAATATTCAGAGAATTTAAATACTTTGTTCAAGGTCACACCAGCCAGATAGCTCTCTGCATTTAACCCCTAAGCTACATGCTGTGTCTCTACAAGGGGTTGTCATGAGAATTAAATGAGATAAAGTGAGAGGTCCCTAGCACAGTTAACTCATAGGCCACTACTACAAAGTGTGAGAAAGCTGTCTAATTCTGTACAAATGCTCTGGTATAGAAGCTGTATCCTAGGTGCCACTGGGAGGCAGTGTTGCCATTCAGTTGGTGTCCCCTTGAGCTTTCATCCACTTAGGTGCAAAACCCCTTTGTCCTTCAAGCCTTATACTATCTGCCATCCTCTTTACATTTACTGTATACATCTGCTATCATCCTTTTTGGGTAATCCATCAGTTCTAGGTCTTCCTAAGTTATTTGTAGACTTGGACACTTACGTCGTGGACTTCCCTTCCAGTTCAACTCCTGTTGTTATTCTGGATGTTTTTAGCACGTAAAAAGTGATCTATGTGGCAGATAGATCCACAGATAGTTAATGAATATTTGTGTTGGACACTTAAGCTCTGGGGAGAAAAAAATTAATGACATGGTTTCTGTTTCCGAGAAAGTTATAACCTAGTAGGGGCAATAGACACAAATCAAAAAGTGAAATGAAGTGTTATAGATGCATTTATTTTTTTATTTTTAATTTTTAAAGATTTTATTTATTTATTTGACACAGAGAGACACAGCAAGAGAAGGAACAGAAGCAAGGGGAGTGAGAGAGGGAGAAGCAGGTTTCTTGCTGAGCAGGGAGCCCAATGCAGGGCTAGATGTGGGGCTCAATGCGGGGCTCGATCCCAGGACCCTGGGATCATGACCTGAGCTGAAGGCAGACACTTAACGACTGAGCCACCCAGGGGCCCCTATAGATGCATTTATAACCAGCTGTCTATTGGCATCAACGTTTTCCGTAAGACTTGGGTAAGATTGGTAAAGGAGCACAGACACAAAATTGTAAATGGCATGGCACTTTCTGGAAAGTGCCAGTAGTTCATATGGACAGAGCTCAGACTTGAAGGGAAGGCCTGGTGAGAGATGGGGCTAAGAGGCAAGCCATGGCCAAAGCATTGGATGCCAAGCTAAGACGTGTGGAAATAAAAATTATTTGTCTTCCATTTTTATTCCTCTTTGATTAAAATTAAGATAAAATATTGATCATATCATTATTTGGTGAGACGTCTTGGGAGTAAATAATCTTGTTGAAACAAGTAATTTGAAAATTTGATATACTTCTG